ACACACACACACACACACACACACACACACACACACACACACACACACACACACACACACACACACACACTCCTCTTTTGTGTTCCAGCCAAACTGGCCTAGCTGTTTCTGGAACTCTACCTCCTGGTTCCCACCTCTGTGCATTTGCAAAGGCAATGCACCCCTGGCATGCCACTCCCTCCTCATTCCATCTTTCAGACTGTTTAGTACCTTTCAAACCTCAGTTCAGGGGTCATCTCCTTCAGGAAGCCTTCCCTGATTTCCCCCAATTGAAAGTGTCCTCTCCCTCCTCACATTTCTCAGAGAACCTGGTCAGGATGGATACTTTGTCCTACTCACACCCTTTAAGCAGTGCCCAGTCTCCCCATCTCAACTCTGAGGGAAGCTCTCTGAGGGTAGAGACTGGTATTTTTCAGCTTTTTGTCTCCAACCATCCAGCACAGGGATTGCCCTACCCACAGTAGGCTTTTAATCAGTGGTTGTTGACGAAGAATAATTGAAGATTTCCTTGGTGTTCTGGCCCCCACACCCGAGCAGACAGTTTCAGGGGTGCCCCCTCCCCATTTTCCCCTTATTTGCATGATGGCATGCTCCCCCAGGTTCTGGATGATGGACGACGCTCTCGTGATTTGCCAGTCACTGATGGTGCGAACCAAGGCTGTGTGCTTTCTCCCATGCTTTTTAGTATGATGTTTTCAGCCATGCTGTCAGGCGCCCTTCATGAAGACACACAGCAGCAAGGAGAGCTATGAATGGTAAATTTGAAAGGGCTACAAGCCAAGACTAAAGTAGAGGGGAGTACTGGGGCATGATTTTTTTGTTTGCAGATGATTATGCGCTCAGTGCAGCCTCTGGAGTGGAGACGCAACAAAGTATGGATTGTTTCTCTGCTGCTTGTGCTAATTTTGGCCTGATAATTAACACCAAGAAAACACAGGTGCTCCATCAGCCACCACAACGCCATCCATACATGGAACCATCGGTGACAGCAAATGGAGTTTTGAATGCTGTGGTTAAGTCCACTTCCCCTGGTAGTGTACTCTCCAGGGATGTACACATTGGTAGTGAGGTTGATCTGCGTGTTGCCAGAGCTAGTTCAGCTCGTGGGAGACTAGCCTTTGGGAGGCTCCAAAGGAAACTGGGAGAGAAGAGGTATTAGACTGACCAACTGAAGGTTTGCAGAGCTGTTGTGCTAATCTCCTTGTTGTGTGCCTGCGAAACCTGGATTCAGAAAACTGAGTCTCTCCCACTTGCATTGTCTTAGGAAGATTCTGAAGATCACCTGGCAGGAGAAGATACCAGACACTGAGGTCCTTTCTCTAACTAAAGTGCCAAGCATTTAAACTCTATGGCAGAGAGCACAAGTCTGGTGGGCTGGCCAGGTTGTTTGAATGCCAGACATCCACTTGCCAAAAAGACTTTTATGGAGAACTCACACAGGGCAAGCATTCACATGGTAGTCAGAAGAAGCAATACAAGGGCACTCTTAAGGTCTCTCTTAAGAACTTTGGAACTGATTGTGGGACATGGGAGACCCTGGCACAGGACGGCCCAGCATGGTGTGCCCTCATCAGAGAAGTGGCTGTGCTCTACTAGCAAAGCAGAATTGAAGCAGCTCAAAAGAAGCACAAATTTAGAGAGTCCACCCCAGATGTTCATGTGGACCATGTGTGCCCACATGCAGTAGAGCCTTCTGGGCTTGTTTTGGTCTGATCAGCCATGGGTGGACACGCTGTGCCTTGACCCTGACAGAGCGATGTCATTGTGCTCCTCTTCTACAACAGAAACAACCAGCCAGCCATCTTTTCCCTGGTGGTGAGTCTCTGGACCCTCAGCCAGGATGATCCTCAGACAGCCGTTCAGTTCAATTCAATTCAACAAAGATTTACTAAGTGTCTGCAAGCACCTGGGAGCACAGAGGCAAAAAAAGAAACGGCCCCTGGCCTCCAGCAGCTCATTTTATCGAGGGAGGAGGAACCACGTGTACAAAGACCATTTCAACAGAAAACATGTTCCCAGTATTTCCAGAGCGCTGGGGAGAGCGCAGGTCTAATATGAAGGACAGTTTGTAATTAGAGAACTGAGATTTCATAAGGCTGGCACTAGGAAAGGTCCGGTGGAGCCAGAGAGGAACCCAGAAGAAACAGGACTGACTCTCCCCCCAACATTCTTCCCTCTCCCCACCGTTCCTCCCTCTTCCCTCTCCCCTCCCCCCATATTTCTCCCTCCCCCCCTTTCATCATCTGGTGATGTTCTTCTGTCTTTCTCCCTCAGGATTTAAGCCCCGGGAAGGCAGGGAATATCCTTCTATTTGCTTGTAGTTGCATTCCCAGCACAGTGCCAAGCGCCTAACAATCCTTAATAAAAGGGGAGTCGTAGCCAGACCAGGAAAGGAAGCTTTGACCCTGGCCTCCTATGATTCAGAATCATGGGGAATCTTAGTAGAGCCAGAGGGTGGAGGATCGCCAGACTCTTTCTGGTCCCGAGGATAGCATGGGGTTGCTTATTAATGTTTGAACAAGAAGAGAGGAAGGGGGGGAGGGGGAGGCCCTTTGAGAGCTTCAGAATCCAATACCCAAACCTGTCCCCGGGCTCACTCCAGCTCTGAGATGGGCACCCCCTCCTCACAGTGTGTGAGATGGGGGTGGGGGCTCAGGAGGCCCCTGCACTGGCTGGAGAGGGGGGCGAGAGGCCAGATGGCCAAGGCCAGGCTGGTGCAGGCCGAGGGCCTTGCTGTCCCTACCTTCTGGCATTGTGAATAAAGCACTGGGCAGATGAGCCGTTAGTGGGTGGTACAAGGGTTATTATTAGCCTCTTCTAGAGGAGGAAATTGAGGCACAGGCAAGCTATCCAACTAGCCCAAGCTCGTGCCCTGAGTTGAGGAAGTCTGGGCTTCTTCCTGCCTCCTCTTGCTGCCTAGGTCTACCCTGTTCAGGCCAGCATTCTCAGCTTTTGGGAGCACAAAGACCTCCTGTCAACCTTAAATATTCAGGAGACCTCCCCAAGCTCAAAGCTGTACTATGGAAGAGTCTGCTGATGAAGAAAATCCATGGTGACAAGAAACTGTGAATTCTGTAGTGCTTTTAATAAATTAGTACTTTATTAATCACAACATCTACATATTGGAGAAAAATAGTAAAATATCCCACCCACCCATCCCCCCATCCCTCCACCTACCAGTTTTCTCATCCCCCTTCCCTCATCCCTCCACCCATCCCCCATCCCTCATTTCTTCATTCACCCTCCCATCTCCCATCCCTCCACCTACCTGTTTATCTACCCCCAGGGCCATCTTTAGTCATCCTGACCATCTTTAGACCATCCTGCCACGGGACCCAGAAGGCTCTGGAGGAGTGAGGCTGGTGACTTTGCACAGCCCAGCATCACTTAAATCCAATTCACTTGCAAGTTATGGCATCACCTTGCTGAGACCACCGCCCTCTTCCAGTAGAAGGACAAACAACAACAACAGCATCCCTCCACCCACTCCCACCCCTCATCTATCCACCTAGTCTATTCATTCCCCCCATCCCCCCACCTACCTGTTTACCCACCCCCATCCCTCCACCCACCCCCACCCCTCATCTATCCACCTAGTCTATTCATTCCCCCATCCCTCCCCCATCCCCCCACCTACCTGTTTACCCATCCCCCATCCCTCCACCCACCCCCACCCCTCATCTATCCACCTATCAGTCTATTCATTCCCCCCACCCCACCCCATCCCTCCACCCTCCCACTCACCCACTCATTTATAAGTCTTATGCTAACGCTAACCCATCTACTTAGGAGAAAAAGAATTACCTCGTGGGGGACTGGGAGAGGCTTCCAGGAGGAGCTGGAGTCTGAGATTCTAAAGGCTGAGGTGAGGGAGGGAGTCCTCATTCCAGGAACACCTCCTGCGGTTGATCTGCATGACTGAAGGAGGGGGGAGCAAATCCACGAGTCCCACCTACCAGCTCCTGACTCCTTAGGGAAGGCGTGTGAGATCCTCCTGGGCGGCCCCAAGTTCCTCACTGGAAGGCTGGGGGCGCTTTGTAGCCCTTGGAGGCTGGAGTCAAGTAGAAGGAACCTGGACTCTGCCTTGCGTCTAGTTTCACACCTAGCTGGTTTCACTGGTCACAACACTGGGAAATGGTCATTCAAAGCCCCTGTCAGTGATTACCTTCCCCTCAAGGGCTAAAACAGAATTGGGACTCCGAGGTTCTAGCCTCCAGACCAGTCTGGCTCCATGCAGAATGCTGATGGAAAAAGGATTGGTTTTTGTTTTGTTTTGCTTTGCTTTTTGGTAAGGCAATCCGGGTTAAGTGACTTGCCCAGGGTCACACAGTTAGTGATTGTCAAGAGTCTCAGGCTGGATTTGAACTCTGCGGAGCCCTTTCCAAACACTCCCCTGGCCTCCCTCCACCTGCCCCGAACAATGGGGCTGTAGGTCTTCATTCTACAGAGGAGGAAACTGAGGCCCGCAAAGGGGCAAACAGCTTCAAGGGTCCTCAGAGGCCAAGCCGCACAAGCTAGAGGATGCAGAGGCCTAGGGAGCAGTGACTTGCCCAAGGTCCCGCGAGGCCTGAGTCAGAGGTTATTTTGTATCCTAGTAACCATCCCGGTAACTTTGTAAAACAAAGCGGTTGCTCCCTTCGCAGCCTTGGGTTCTCGGGGCCTCCGGGCTCGTTCATCCGAGATTCGGGCCCTGTTTCCCGGGGGGGAAAACTGAGGCCTTTGACCGCGGTGCGGGGACATGGCCGCTAGGGTTGCAATAGCCCGGGCCAGGCCGAGCAGCCTCCAGGTACAGAGAGGGGACAGGGCGCAGAGCCGGCGGCGGTCTTGGCACCGCGTGGGCACCGGCACGGGGGCGGGGCAGCCAGCCCGAGGCTGGGCTGGGGGTGGGGGGTGGGCTCTCCGTGCTGTCCCGCCCTCCTCCCTCGGCGCAGGCGCAGAGTGGGTTGGGGAGGGGCGGGGCGGAGCCCGAGGGGGCGGGGCGGCAGAAGCTCCCCCTCTCCCTTCCCTCCCTCCTGCCCTCCTCCCCTCCTCCCCTCCCCCCCAGTGGGGCGCTGCCGGTCCAGCCGCCGCTGCTGCCGGGCTCAGGCCGGACGCCGGACGCCGCGAACGTCCAAGGAGGTGCCCCGGAGCGCGGCGGCCCGTCCGCCCTCCTGCCCCCTTGGCGCTCCCGGGGGTCCCCTCCTCCCTCTCGGGCCCCCTTCCCAGGGGCCCCCCTCCCCGGGCCCCCGCGCCTGCGATGAGCCCATGGCCATGTCGCGGACGCCCGGCCCGGTCCGGTCCGCCGAGCCCAGCCACGAGGAGGAGGAGGGGCCGGCGGCGGGGCCCGGGGCCGGCGGGGCTCGAGACGGCGATGGCGACCGCTCCCTGCAGCAGATGCTGCGGGCCATCGCGGAGGAGCGGAGGCGCCTCGGCCTCCGCCAGGAGATCAGCGGCCTCGGTGAGGGCTGGGGGCATCGGTGGATGGGGGCCTGGGAGGCGGGGGGCAGCGGCGGATGGTCGCCCGGAGGGGCAGCGGCAGAGGGGGCCTGGGGGGGCAGCGGCGGTGCCCACCTGCAGCTGAGCCAGCCCCGCAGGAGGCGGAGGTGGGGGAAAGGGCGCCGCCTGCTTCCTGAAGGACTTTACCTCCCTCCGCCCCAGGCCCAGGTCCCTGCGCCTGGGTCGGGAGAGCAGCCCGCAAAGGGCCAGCTGTCGGGGTGCTGGGTGTGCAAGGAGAGCGCCCCCAGGTCCGGGTGCTTGGAGATCCCCGATGGCAGCTCCCGAAGCTCCCTTCGCGCTCGCTGCCTTTGTCTCCCGGGCTGGGGCGGGCTGGGCTGTGGAGGCTGGGACGCTGGGGCGGGCGGGGTGGTCTCTGGGGCACTCTGCTCGTCACCCCCCTCTGAGGCCCTTTCCAGCACGCCGGAGTGCGGGGTCCCGGGCCCAGGGGACGACCTTTCTGGTGTGTCTGGGCGGGGATCAAGCAGGCAGGTGGACCGGGGTGGCCTACCCTCTACCCATTGCTCCAGGTGCCCTTGGGATTAGAGGTGGGGATGAAGTGCCAGAGGTGGGAGGTAGAAGAGGGAAATCTCCCCACCCCCATCCCGGCCTCTCACCTCCTCAGACACTTGGTGAGTCAGACACCCCCTCCCACCCAGGTGAATGACTTCATCTCTTTCCCAGTCCGGGCAGGAGGCTCAGCTCCTGTCCCAGGTTTAGACTAGATTTATGGGAAACTTAAGCTGGCATCTCAGCTCCAGCTTGCTGGGAGTCAGAGACCCAGGTTTCAAATCCTTCCTCCCCTCCTGCCTGCCTGGGTGACCTCAGGCCCCCTCGGGCCTGCAGTTTCCTCCTCTGTGAAATGAGGGGCGTAGAATAGCTGGCCTTTCCAGTCCCTTCCCTATACCCCGAGGCCTGGCCAAATCAGTATTTTGTGAGAACCCTGGAGGTTGGGGCCCATGGGTTGGGGGTGTTGAGGCCCCTTCCAGCTCCTGGGGCTTGTGCATTGCCTGCCCCCTAAGGAGGGGCTGTGGAGGATAGAGGTCCTGGGAAGCCTGGAAATGAGAGCTCCTACTGGGGACCATTGACATGGGGCTGGAGTTGTGAATAGTCACAGGGCTTTTCTTGCAACCAGAGGGAGACCCAGCCAGGAGGAGCTCTAGGCTCTCAGAACCCTTGTAGCCCTCAGAAAAGCCAGGAAATCCCTTAGATTCCCCCTCCCCCCAACATTGTTGTTCCTTGAGGAATTGATACCTCTTGGGATGGGAGTGGGACAGCAAAGAGCAATCCCTGTTCCAAGGGGCAGGAGACAGTCATTTGTTGGTTATTTGAGCCCTGGCTTAACAGGCCTTCTTAGCTCTAAGCTCTGGGGAATCCTTTCTGAGCCTCAGTTTCTCCAGCAAAAGGGCCATTTCTCAGCCAAGCAGGGTGGTCTGAGGATGAGGTCGGGGGGATTGGATCTAGACCACGGAGGATTTCAGCAGCTGGCACGGCTTAGGGGATGTTGTGGGCAAAAGAGGGGTGGTGGGGAACATGGTCAGATGTGAACCTTCTGTTTTGCTAAGACCTCGTGGGAAACAAGGCTGCAGAGTTAGGTTGGAATCGCCCTGTGCCAGACCTTGACTGCCAGGGTCAGGGGTCGGGGAAGGCAGGAGTGAGCCAGTGAGGGGCGTTGAGCAGAGGAATGATCAGCTGCACATGAGCAGGGCCACACTCTGTGTTCCTGCCTGAGTTACCTCTCCCGACTTGGGCTCTGGTCCCACAGGAGCAGGTACCCTGTGGCCTCTTGACCTCCAGTCGCCTAGGTGTCCCAAATGCCCCTGCCTACAACTGACCTCTTTCTCTTTGGTCTGGCCCCCTTCCCTCTGTCAAACGCCTCCAAGTCTGCAGCGATGACGCCCCTGGAGTCGGAGCCAGCTCCTTTCCAACCTCAGGGGCGACCTCTGCCTTTCCCCTGTCACTTCCCAAGTACAGGTATTTAGCAGGTAGTCTCTGCAGCTGGCATAGGCATCCCTCTCCCTTCTCACTCAGTCAGCCAGACGTTTATTAAATGCTTGCTGTGTGCCAGGTGCTGTGCTAAAGTGCTGGGCTTGCAAAGGAAGGCCAAAGACAGTCCCTGGCCTGAAGGAGCTCCCGGTCGGATGGGGCAGATAAGCATGGAAATACAAAGAACAGGCCATGTACTAGAAGGGAGAGGGCCTGGAGGGGGCTTTCTGTGGAGGGCAGGGTGTCAGGAAGCCAGATGAGGCAGGAAGCCAAGGTGAGGGGGCAGCATTCCAGGCATGCCAGGAGCCCAGAGATGGAGACTCTGGTTGTTGAAACAGCCGGGGCACCAGGACCAAAGAGATGCGGGACGGGACAGGTGGAAGATGACTGGAGAGGGGGAAGGAGCAGGTTATGGAGGGCTCTGAATGCCAAGCAGAGGTACTAGGGAGCTCCTGGATATTGGCTGGGGGCATGACATGGCAGACTTGGGTTTTAGGGGGGCACCGCTGAGTACAGGGCAGAGAGGCTGAAGCAGGCAGACCCCCCCCCCAGCTGCCAATGCTGTAATCTAGGATCAAGGGCATATGGGCAGGGTCAGAGGAGACAAGCAGGTGTATTCATGAAAGTAAAATCGATGAGTGTTGGCACCAGATTGGGCAAGGGGAGGGTGAGGGATGAGAGAGAGAGAGCAGTCCAGGATGACTCCTAGGGTGGGAACCTGGGGGAGGGCCCTCAACAGTTATAGGGAAGGTAGGAAACGGGGAAGGTTGGGGTAAAGAGAATGAGCTGTCTTTTGGACCCGGTGAGTTTCAGGTGCTTACTGGACGTCCGGTTGGAGATGTCTGAAAGGCTGTTGGAGATGAGAGTGGAGGTCAGCAGAGTCTGGGGCGGGATGGGTAGAGCTGAGCATGGTCTTTGAGAGCTCATGAGGAGAAGAGCTGAGGGCCCAGGCTGCACCCTGAAGGACAGCTGAGGTCAGAGGGCATGACCTGAGACAGAAGAAGCAGTCAGAGAGGGAGCCGAGTAGGATGAGGACACAAAGGGAAGACGGGGGAACGATGGTGCCCTGGCTGCAGAGGCCAAGGAGAATGGGGATTGAGAAGGGCTGTTGGTGACTTTGGAGAGGGCAGTTTGGGGGCAATGAAGGGGGCTGAAGTGGATTGTAAGGGGTTCAGAGAGAGAGGCGGTGGTGGCGGCATGGATTGTCAAGGTCTTCTGTAAGTGGTCTCACCACAGACGGGGGAGGACGCAGCTGGGCCGAGATGGGGAACCTTCCCTGGAGCTCCCTGGGCCATCCTGGTCCGCAGAGGAGAGTGCCTGCTTTTAGAGTGGAGGAGAGCAGTGAAGCTGGGGGAAAGAAGGTCTGTGTTGGAATGAGAAGGCCAGGGTTTGAGGCCCACATCTGCTGTGGTGGGACCCCAGACGAGGCACTTAACTGTTGGTGCCCCCGGGAGCTTTCAGATGCTAAGTTAGCAGGGAGGTGCCAGTCTGTGTTGGCAGAGGGGTTCTGACATCCCGAGTTGCCTGCACCTGTGAGAGATGGTAAGCTAGAGAAAGCCTTGGTTAAGCCCTTCTCATGGGCCTGCCCAGGCTAAGAGCTGGAGCAGAGAGAGAGAAAGGGCAGACCCCCAGGGAGGGAGGGCAGCAAACGGCCAAGGAGCTGGGGCAGGGCCAGACCAGAAGGAGCGGCTGTCCTGGGTACTTCCTCTGGGGCCATTCTGGCCAGGAATGAAATCCCTGCTCCAGACCAAACCAGTCTTTTCCCAAGTGTCTTCCCATTCTTTCTGTCACCTAGCTCATGATCCGGCAGTGATGGTGATGATCCGTCTTAGGTGGAGAAACCGAGTCCCAGACTAGTTTGCCTGTGTTCATGCAGGGAGTCAGGGCTGTAATTGGGCCTGGCCCTCAGCCCACTGAACCTCCCAGAGCTCCCATCTAGTCTTTGTCTGAGCTGGGATTCAAATCCAGGTCTTAGGACTCTTCCCTAGGATCCCTTCTTGTTCCCCACTCCCTGGTGGCCTGCCTTGCAGGGAGCATGACAGGTGGGTGACCCCCCTCTGTGCTGATGCATAGTCTGGCCTTGTGGGTCCCTTTGGCTCTAAACAGAGGCTCCCCTCCCCCCCATTTCCCTCCTATTTCCTTAGTCCTGCCTTACCTAAGGGGGCAGATGGGTGGCACTATGGAGTCAGAAGGCATGAAGGAAAAAGCACTGGTTAAGTGCCAACTGTGTGCCATGCAGGGCATGGGCAAGGTAAACTCAGTCAGTCTGGGCTCCTCCAGGAGCTCCAGTTCTATGGGGAGATGGCGGTGCCAGGAAGCTCCCAGGGCAGGATGCTGCAAGGCCCCAAGTCCCATGATTCTGTGGCTATCACTTCCTCTTCAGGGGCTTCAGGAGTCGTGGCAGCTGGGGAGGCTGGGGTTGGGCGGCGGCAGCTGCGGAGGAAGTGGGTCAGTGGTGGGTGATAGCGATGGTAGCAAGGATGGGGGCGCGATGGTGGTGCCTTCTCCGCCGATGATGGTCACGGGTCCTGGGCGGTCTTGGAGGAGGGAGTGTGTGAGCCTGTGGTCCTGGGCTGCCTTCACGTATAGGAGCCTGGAGGAGGTGACTCAGGCCACCTCCCGTCAAGATCCCTGGGAGCTTCAGTTAGGCTGAAGACCTGAGTTCAAGTGTAACTTGCTTCATGACCTTAGGCAAGTCATTTCCTGAGGCCAGCTTCCCCTGGAAGTGGAAAGGCTGGGTTCAATGGCTCCCTAAGGCCCTCCAGGCGCACTGTGCTCTTTGCCTTCTCTTACCACCCCCACCCCATGCCTGCCCCTGCACAGGAGCACCCGATGGATCCAGCATCTAACAAAGTGCATTCTTGGAAGGCTGGGTGCAGAGGGCCCCGGTCTCTGGGGCAGCCTGAAGGGCTGGAAGCTTGGCCGTTGGGCTCGGCCCTGGACTCAGACAACAGAAAGAACCAGGCCCTCTCATCGAAA